ACACACACACACACACACACACACACACACACTGGGGACAATGGACAATGAAGTAGCTCAATGGTAGAGTGCTTATCTTGCAAGGCCCTGGGTTCAATTCCTAGTTCTACTAAATAAAGAAATTTAAAATATAAGGAGGAAACAGGCACAGAGGTGTTAAATAATTTGCCCAAAGTGCAGTTAGAGAGCCATGATTTGAAATCAGGCAGCCCAATTGCAAAACCCCAAAACCCACTTTTTTTTTTTTTGGTACTAGGGATTGAACACAGGAGCCCTTAACCCTGGAGCCACATTCCCAATCCTTTTTATTTTTTAAATTTTGAGATAGTCTCTCTAAGTTACTTAGGGTCTCCTTAGGTTGCAGGGGCTAGCTCTGAACTCACGATCCTCATCCTCCAGAGCTGCTGAGATTACAGGCAAGCACCACTGTGCCTGGCCAAAACCCAAGTTCTTAACTATTTTGTGATGCTAGACAAGAGGTTGTGAGCAATATGGAGTTTTAGGAAGACCAGTGTGGCCACTGACGTTGACATGGATTGGAAGGGAGCATGAAGAGTCAGATGATGCATCTGGGATATTGGGGTTCGTTGTGAGAGAGTACAGGATGAGGTGGAGACCATGTACAGTAGGGGACAGATAGGACAGAAGTTCTTCAAGAATTGGCAGGACTGTTGGGCATGGTGGCACATGGGACTAAGGAGGTTAAGCCAAGAGAATCACAAATTCAAGACCAGCCCCAGCAATTTAGCGAGACTCAACAACTTATTGAGACCCTGTCTCAAAAAAAATAAAAAAAGAGCAGGACTGAAGCCAGGTGCAGTGGCACATGCCTATATCCCAATGACCTGGGAAGATGAGGCAGGAGGACCACAAGTTTCAGGCCATCCTGGGCAACTTACTGATACCTTGTCTCAAAATAAAAATGAAAAGGACTGAGGGTAGCTCAGTGATAGATTCAATCCCTAGTAAAACACACACACACACACACACACACACACACACACACACACATACAGGCAGAAATGGACAGTTGATATACTGAATGTTGGGTTTGAAAACAAGGACAGGGGCTGGGGATGTGGCTCAAGTGGTAGCGCGCTCGCCTG